CAGCAGGAACTTGATATGCAACATGCATAGTTTTAATGTCAGTATTTATAAAAATAAAAGCTCCATGTTTTTACATTAAGCCTCTACTTCAATGTATTATTAACTATATTTAACTTAGTGATTCTTGCAGGTTCTCTCTATAAAGGCCCACTTCTCAACATAGTAAGAAAATCTATTTTTATTAAACACTACTACTAAGTGTCCAACCATTTCTCAGCAGAAGAATTTAACTATGCATTTCATAAAAGCTCTCTTAAAATAGAAGCATTTCAAATCTAATTTTACTCTCACTTGATTCAAGCAGTATGAAGTCCTGGACATTGGTGTATGGAAAACTTAAGCATTACTTTTACAGCACATGTTAGCAAGGTGAACTACTTGTCAAAAAAAACCAAACACCAATACTTCGTTTGAGTTTTGCCTCCTAAATACTTTGAGGATTAAAATAAAGTAGTATTATGCCCATTATCCAATTCTATGAAACATACCTGAAGGTTCATAGAGTCACTGTGCTGGGTAAGCTGTTCCTGTAGCTCATCCATATGTGCAGTGATTCCTTCGACTGCTTCCTGTTTCTCCAGGAGTCTGTTCTCTAACTCAGCTGCTCTTGCCTCACACATCTTAGCATCAAGATCACTGTATTCAGCAGCAGAATTTATTGTAAATTCCTTCATAAAAGAAACAAAAAAAGTAGTCACCAAAACAGTATTGCATTTCCATTCTGTGATTGCTCTAAATACGTGAAGTATACATGAAGTTCTTGATTCTGAAGAATTTCAAATAAAAACTTTTCACAGATAATATTTTTTCATATGATACTTTAAGGTACAAACCCTGAACTATCATATGAAGGGAAGGGGGGAATACTACTAAAATTAAACAGTTTTTACTTCTACCATTGCTGACTGGAGAGCAGTCCATCCATAGGAAAAATGTAAATGTAAAAAAAGCAATGTAAAGTTCTTGACTTTCAAGTGTAAGCAGCTATTGCAAATAAATATTCAACATGCTTTGAGTTTCTATGGCCTTTAACAGCAAAACAAAGAAGTTGCTTCAATCAATCCTGTGGTTTCTCAGGAAAAACTAACAATTCTCACAGAAGACAGTATTTTATTTCAAATATTTTTGTTTTAATGTCTGAAACAAAGAATAAACCTACTTTTCAGATAAAAACAGAATTCAATTTTCTTTGGACAATGTCCACAATTTAACTAAAACCAGTTCCCCAGCCAGTACATTTACATACAGATAAGTAGCTGTAAAAGTGATATTGCATCACCTTTATCACATTTCATAACAATACTCAGTAGCTAATAATTTTAGTAACCTATCACACTCTTCTTTCCACGCATATCAGCTTCTTTTACTACAGATACATTCTTTCACACTTACTTCAGCTGCAAGATTGTTCAGTACATCCCAGTTGAACAAGTCAGTACTCCCCTGATAAGTAAACAAATAAAACAATAAATCATGGCCATTTCAAAGATACATGAGGCACATCAGCCAGAAAGGCCCACGATTGAGATAAAATACCAGTGACAGAGAGACTGAGTTTAATGCTACACTCAGCTGGCCATACAAGGTCAAATGAATTGAAAAAAAATATTTTTAAGAATGTCTACTGAAAAATTTATGGCTAAGTCTCACCATCAGGATTTAATCTTTTATCTTCTGATTTTGTGGCTTGTAAATATAGCTGAGCACTCTTTAATCTTCTGCTAAATATTAGTAAACTAACTGACAGAAGATTATTTAACAAACATGGTAAAATCATTTAGGAAGTTACAAAAGCAGTACTATTTTCTGACATGTATATTTAATGTAGCTTGATACCTTGAAAGATATTTACCTCTCACTAAACTCACAAGATGAAGACTACTGTAGCACTATTTAAAAAAGGCAGCCCATAGCCCTCCCCGTATTTTGAAGCAGTTCCAAATGACTGCTGTCTCCCTAGAGGTGCCCTCTCCACATAACCTAGAAAGCAATTGCATTTGCTTTACAAATCAGCTATTTTGACAGAAGCTGTTTAGAAGCAGTAAGTAATTTTGTTTGTTGTTTATAATTTAAGTTCACATGAATGTAATAAGGACACTGCTATGGTTGAGTGACAAAAGCTGTATGCTTTTTCCTTAGTGCAGACAGCTTGGCATGTAGCTTCATAAAAGCCTTTACAATGCTATCATTATGCTCAGGATATCCTGAAAGCACCAGGGATACCCTCAAAACAGAAAGCAGGATAATACATCAACAGCCAGAGAGATGCTTTTCATGCTGAAGGCGCCATCTCCCCAAAAGTCCTCAGTCTCTGCATAGAAAACATGCTAAAATGCACTGGGAAATTACTGTCTAAACAAACTCCCAGACCAAGACAGACAGAGTCTGTTGTAGCCAGAGCTGCCTTCTAGCTTCTGAGGCTTGTGAAAGCATTAGCCAACCACTGCTGAAGCAAGCTGGATTCCTATTAAAAACAAAAATAGTTCAAGACCATGTTTTGTTTAATTATTACAAGACAGAAAGAGAGAAAGCATTTACACGACTGTCTAATCCACAGCTGATGAAAAAAAAATAAAATCTTGCCTGTGAGCTGAAGCGACAAAGCAACTGCTTAATTCAAGCAGACCAGTACATGTATTAGCAGATGTCTCGTAGCCTCAAGCTAGATCATAAGCCACGTTTCTCCATCTATTGACATGAGTACATTCAGAGGGCCACCAGTACTCTTGGTGTACTGAGATACATCAGGCACAAGCAGTGTTACATTTTAAACAAGTCTGTCAGAGAATGTAATATCTCTGCTGGCTTTACAAGGGCTACTAGGAGCATGCTGGGACAAATTGTATTTTTAAAAAAAAAAACATTAAGCACACATGAGACAGCAAAGTGATACAAAACCAAACAAAGCTGTGCATTTCAAGGCCCTCGCAGTTTTGCTCATCTCCTAAGCCTCTCAGTCTGAATTTGCCATTTCATAGAGTCCCAGCCACTTAACCAGAAGTCTGCCCAAACTCAAGTTCATGACAGCGAAAGGTGAAAAACCTTTAGCGGGCAAACAGCAGACAGCTCCTTGATAATACCAGCTGTCCAGTCCATATAATGGAGACTTTTTCAGTTATTTACATCACTTTATAAGAGAGTTCATTATTACAAGTGAAAATACACCAGTTCACTTCTCAATGGCAGCTAGTTAACAGTGCCAGCGAACCAATATCCAATTAAGTGAAGCAATCACCTGGAACACTTGCTACCTGCAGACAGTGCGAAGCGAAACAAGAAATACTAAGATTTACCTCTGTCTCTGTTGTTGACTCTCGCGGGTTGGAGTCTTCAGCCTTACTCTCCAGTAGGTTGGAGTCTTCAGCCTTACTCTGTACCCCCTCACCAAGCCCCTGGGCCGCTAGTGCGTGCTCTTCCTGCGGAAGGTCATGCGTGTGGACAGCCGAGCCCTTCCTCTGCGACGCCTTTTTCTGCGGCTGCGCGACGTTGGCTTTTGCTTTTCGTTGTCTGAGGTCAGCAAACTGTGCAGAAAAGATTGGAAGAGGTAGAGGGAGAGGTAAGTGAGAAAAAGGTAGCAGGACCACAAGATTAACATAGTCATAGGTAATGAAGATCCTGTCTTGATAAAATATATACATCTGCAGAAAAACTGCTTTATCTTCCTACTTGCTACACACTCAGAACATTCTGGATAACTGTGCAAAGAAGCAAGAAATCTCACACCAGTACCAGAGACTCATTTCAATACAAGAATCAAATTTTACTCGGTGAAACTTTGTGTCAATGACAATCCAGAATTACAGCGAGAGAGATTAGTAAAGAAACAAGTTGTTAATATACTAGGAAAAAATAATAATTGAGCAGTCTTTCTACAAGACTGGCAAAACCACAACAGCCCCCTACAAATGTATCTAAACAGATCTTTGCCAGCGTAAGCTTTAAGATTAAAAATTAACGGAAGTGAATCCTCATGCTCCTTCCCTGTGACCCTCTTAAGAGAATACAGCAAAACTTCCTAGCCAGGAAGCAGCCTACAGCACATAAATAGAAAATCAATTAAGCCAGGTCACTTTAATTTCTTCTGTTGAAGAATCAGATGCTCTACTTATCAGACTATCCCAGCTCCACAAAGCTCCAGGGACTTGTAAAGAATGTCACTGGCAGAATTGATTACCCAACTTTCCTTAGCACCTTAAGCAGCTTAAAAAGGGTTATTGTGTTTTCAACTCTACTGTTGTGTTTAGGCAGCAATTTCAGGTAACATCTCCCTCACAGCATAAATCCAGGCATCCCTCACATGAGAAAAAAGTCTTCTCCAAGGCTACATCTACAGGTTATTAAGTGCACTGCTAGTATCTCTTTATGATGAGATAAAAGTATAGTCTTACTGTAAGTAAAAAACTTAATTGCCAAGTTCTACCTGCAATACATATGGAAACCCACTGCTTGACAGCTTGATTTTCCTGTGAAACAGCCACCTTGCAGATAAACCTTGTCCATCTCTTTTCATTCAATCCGTGCAAGGATTTGGTTCAGTCTATTCTCCTTACAGCCATGACAACATACCAACTGCTACCTGACAGCTTAGCTTCTCAACAGATACATGGTTATACACCGATCAGCAGTTTGGCCTGTGTCCTGGTTTGGGGTAGAACAGAACTGATTCCATTCAGTGATTTTACTTTTCAGCTAAAGCTCTTTAACTGACCTCACTTTCTGAAGCTAACAGCATATTTTCACAGACAGTGTCTGCTCTGAGCGGTGATAATGCTCCACATTTAGAGCTACTAGCAAGGATTGCTATGCAGACCAAGGCCACTGCTAAATCCTGTGTACCATGTGGAGAGGGGCAGAAAGCAAAGGCAGCATCCGTAGAGAGGAGCAGACAGGACAGGTGACCCTAAACTGACCAGGGGGGTATTCTGTCCCATATCCCTCATATTCAGTAAAAAGCTGAAGGATCACGAGGGTAAAGTTCTTCTTTTGCTTCTTCAATGCCTGGCATCTGAAGAGTGCTCTGTCCATTTTGCCTTCGATCCCAGTCTGTGTGTTCCTGAATCCAGCTCCCGCACCCCGCTGCCGTCTGCGGCCGAGTCCGATCGGGGACTTTTCCCCAGGGCCTGCCCCACGGCATCAGCACCGACAGTGACATATTGCCCTCGGTGGGGTTGGGCTCAACACTGGTTCTGCGTCTATTTGTACATATTCCATTTTGTTATTATTTTCAGTCAATCTGTTTTACTTTCCTAATCGATAAGTGCCTCTCTATTATTGCCTCTCTCTTCCCTTTTTGGGGGGGAGAGGGGTTAACAGTAAGCATCTCTTACAGGTCTTGGGGGTCGCCCCAACCCTAAACTATTAAAGGCTATATTTGCAGAAGTTTCTTAGCAGCAGTTAAGACGTGTATGTAAAAAGAGCTTATTTTTAAGGTTAGGTTCTGTAGTTTCCATAGTTCTTAATACTGAATGCAGATTATAGAAAGACTGCCAGGTGCCACGTTGCCCTTCACGATACACAAAATGAACAGACTAGTAAATAAAGCTGTAGAGAGACACAAATACTATTCGCTGAAATCAGGTGTTAACTCTAGCTCTTACTGACAGTAATTTATGTCAAAAATAGCCATTGCACTAATTAACCTTATAACATGGGGAAAAGGGACAGGAGGAAACCTGCAGAAAAATGGAGAGTAAAGGGAGCTGCTGAGGCAGGAAAAAAGGGAAAGGAGGAGTGAAAATAAAAAAAAACCTGAAAATATGAGAAATGAGAGGCAGGGAGAGCAGCCATCACAGAGAGTTAATAATTTCATAAAGGGAGACCAAGTATTTGACAATAAAGTACCAAGACCAAACAATAAAATAATTAAAATTAATTAAAATACTATAGCTGAACATCCAAATGAGCATGAATTTGTAATTGCACAGCTCAAAGAAAGCAGAATGTATTTTGTTCCATTCATATGCCTTAAATATATGAAACTACAACACACATCATGCAAAAAAATCAAATAACACCAACATTTCACAGAGCTACTGGACTTGTCGGTCCATGAAAGTCTATGGAGTCAAACACTTCAGATTTATGGAATTACTGGATGATAAAAGGCTCTGGTTAGGGCAACATCAGGTTTCCAAAGCCTTCAATCAGCTATATAAATTTAATTATTTTAAGAGCATCATCAGATACAGAGACAGTCCCCCAACATGAAATAATGCATGTGAACACAAAGAACGCCTGTAACACTGGCTCTCCCCCGCCCCAGTGAGGTCCCATCGTTCCCCTTTTGAAGGATCCAATTCTCAGTCAGCAGCACACGCAAAGAAGAAAGCTTCACTTCCAGCCAAGACGTGGCATGCCCCAGGAAAACCAAGAGCACTTGCCACCACAGTGTCCAAAGCAGCTCTCCATCAGAGGACCACCTGGCCTTCCCACAGGTACCGATATACTGCAACATCATTTCACCACGACCAGTCAGTTAAAAGTGGCAACCCCAGAGCATCTCTGAGTCAGTTGGGCCAGCACCACATTAGTGCCCCAGAACTAGAAGCGGCCACCTTTCACAGGTACTGTGTTGCGTGGTCCTTGAGTCATCCCCATCCCCGATGAGCTGCCCTGACATCCTTCCACCACATCACTGCAAGCTGGCACCAGTGGCATAGGCCAGCAGACAGGAAAACGTGCAGCACTCTTCAGGTCTCCCCAGCCTACCTCACACAAAATTTACTCCTTGACTTACTGCTTTGTCTCAGAAATTAGTACCAGAAGAATATCTGTAGAAAATGGAACCGAGTAGAAAACCACATCAGCACCAAAAGAATGAGGTTGTTCAAATAAACCTTAGTTCACCTCTTAGATACAGTAAACAAGCAATGAGTGCTCTTAGACAAAACCCAGAAACATTTTCTAGAATTTCCTCAAACTGATGAAGTGGAGAAATGTCCTGGAAAACACATACTCCTTTGTGAGCTCCTACCATGTAAAATGCAGGACCAGAAAAAACTTCTCCCAGATGAGGTAAGGCACACACAGGTCTGTAACTAGAGGCACAGCGGGCCAGCATGCATAGTGGCTAATGTGAGGTGGAAAGAACCAAGGAAGAAAAACCAGCATTGAACACCTGGGGTTTTTTCTGTTTCTCAGTTACTATCTTGGCTATTAGTATTGCATTTGTTAAAAATGGAAATGTGAAGTACCTGATACAGTCAGAATTTAGCTGACAAGTTATTACAATTTCAAAGTAATACAACAGTTAGAATTACTATTTGGTAATAATCTAAATGCATTTCAATAACAGTTTTTATTCCTCTGTGGCAAATAATAACGGAAGTAGTGGTTTAAAGAGGAAATATTCACATATTCCTTTCCCAAGTCATTATTTAGAAGACTAAAATTCAAAGATGCCAAAGAAAAAAAAATAATTGGAGGAGGTGGAGGGGCAAAAAACCCCGCAGCCGTTCACAACTCCAGATCCAAGCAGTATCAGACTGTGGTTAGCATGACTGCATAGGTTGCTACAAGTCAGGTTGCTACAACAGAAGCCTGCAACACAGAACCAGCTTGGCACTCCTGTCCCCGTCCACCTGAGTGCCTCGCAGCAGTGCAAGGATTCAGGAAGCTGATCTGGATAAACACCAAACACTTCTGTAACCATCCAGAGATGGGATCACCTTAAGCTGCTGCAGGCCTGCACCACAGCAGGGAAATGCTGTACATGTTCACGGTCATTTCTCCCTTTTAAGGTTGTTTTTATATTAATGAGGAGGGTAGCACAAACAAAGCAAGGAAGAAAAGGACAGAACTAAAAGGAGAGACATTTCCCTGCTGCTTTATTATATAAGAGCCTTCAAAAACCACAAGCTCTCCAAAGGAAGTTTCTGAAGCAAGTTACAGTCCTGCAGGCCATGTACTCAGCAGGCACGACCACATTCTACTATGGGCTTAAGAACACGCAAAGGACTACGCTGAGTAAGAACAACAGTGCCTTTATTCTAGTCATCAGCCCAGTACGCCTCTGCTCCTCAGCTTCAGGTGTGTAAGGAAAGATATAACACCAGGGCAAGCACACAGCTATACGTAGTAGAAGTTGGGTGTGAGCACAGCAAAAAACGTGCAGCTCAAGTGTTTGCCTTCCAAGCGCTAACACACTGCCTTTGTGTCTAATAAGCCCCAATGGATATTGCTTCCTTTCCTTTGTCCAGGAAAACTGTCTGCTGCCCACAGTCTACCAGCGACGTAACGGATCTTGGACATTATAATAAGCAGAGGAAGCACTACAAGCCTTTCTAAACCCTTTCCTCTCCTCGCAGTACACCAGGTATGTGATACCATGCAGCAGCAACATCGATGGCGCTGCTAACGATTTTTTTTAATTAGCTAGATGAGAGATATTTAGCACATGGTTAAAAAAAAAAAAAGGCAGCATGGGCTCCACTCAACTCGAAACATAATGCAAGTATGTCTTTTTTTTTCTTCTTAATGGCAAACAACAGCTGTACAACAGGTGGGAACTAATAACTTATTC